CTATTGTATTGTGCAGACCATGTGGCTCACTGCTATTTCTTCTGTTCAATAAGATACCTTTCAAAAAGTGAAAAAGCAATGAATGTTTGCTAAGATGATCTTCTTGAGTTGCAGCCCAGAGGGGTAGAAGCTCTCTGGGAAATCAGAAACCACAAATGAAACTAGAAAAGAGCAGGTAGTTGTAGGTGGTCCCTGTTGCTATTTCTTCCCGTTGGCTGCTGGAAGGCTGATGGCTGGTCCTACAAGCACCTAGGAACAAGTGCCTTGAGGTCTTACTCAAAAGCACTACCAGACGGGTTAGTTGGGAGCTTGGATGCTGAACCACCTGCCCTCTGTCAGAAAGCAGGAACAGAGTTAGTGTTCCCTCACTCCTTCCTGGTTACTTCAGTTTCTGTGAACTGTGTCCTATTGCACTGGTGAGGATGGCAAGCCTCGCCCTCTCCAAAGGGCTCTCACAGCTCTTAGAACCAGTTGATGTCCACCACAGTCAGTGAGCCACATGGTCTGCACAATACAATAGGAATCTCATTTTAAGGTATGTTTACATGTTTTCCTAATTTACTGTAGGTGCAATAATATATGCTCCAGAGCCAGGTGATTACTAAAGAATCTGAGGGGCCTCCACCCAAGGTGCTCTGGCTGTGGCAGGCTGGCCTGCTTCTGCCTTAGCCCATAGACCTGGACCAGGATTGAGGAAAGGAGCCCGAGGATCAGATTTCTGACTTGTAGTTTCTCTTATCTTTGTATGATCCCTACAAACTTCTGTCCCTTAATCAAAGATTTAGGGTATATGTTTTCCAGGTTCTTACTAGAAAGCAAAGCCAAGATCCTACTGGAAAGCTTTGTCTTAAAGACTAGAGCCATGGAAGATGTCTAAAGACCACAGGATGCCTATAAATGCCTGGGCATCTAGAATTGTCTCCTTGATTATATCAGAATCTTGAGACGGACTCACCTGGAACATATTGCTTTGTCTCTCAGAATTATTGTTACTGAATGACATTTTTTGTTGTGAAGGCATTAGCCAACACTGAAAAACAAGGTACAAAACAGGCCAGTGAAGTCATGACTGCCTACTGCGGACACTGTTGTTGATACATCTATGAGGGGCTCCTCTTAGATTTTAGCAACAGCAGCAGTTGTATCTCTGCCAAGCAACTGGTAGTTTCTAACATCTGGCTTGTGTAAATCATAAAATTTATTATTCTTTCTTTTCACCAGCTGCCTGTAAAGACAAAGCTGGCCCCCATGAATGTCCTCAGAACTCTGATATAAATTTTTCTTGCTAACTTTGCCCATAGCTTCACCTTTTTCTTGTCTTTATCTTCCTCTAGCTATTTTTTTCCTCCTTTTAAGCCTTCTGTGTTCTTACCATCTTTGTCAGTTTCCTCAACCATGGTAAAATAACATAAGGGTATCAGGACCTATGGATGTGGCATGAAGCCACATACCTCCCACCAGGTAGGCAGGAGTGGGATCTGTGTCACCGTTGCTCAGGCTTTTCGCTCATCTCACCCAGCTCCCTGGACAGAAGAACCTCTTTGGGGCTGAAGAATTCAGGAAGGAGCTGAGCTCTCTCTTCCCAGAGACCAAGCTGACTTCTGTCAGCAGATATTTTGAGTCCTCACAGCCAGATCCTACCCTGGGTAAGAGGTATAGACATGAGGTTTCAGGCCACTTAGTGATTACAGGCTGATGCTGACCCATTTCCAATGTTCTAGACCATTCAGATTTTGATCTGTTTCAGTCAGTGTCCTCTTAAGAAAATCTAAAAGAGACATGTACAATAAATATTCCATGAAAAGTGCAAAGAGCCCATAGAGAATGAATCCTTAATCCACTGTATGTAGACCTCTGACATGTTTTGTGGAGAAACGGGGGTAAGTGTAGATCTCCACTCTGGGCAGATGTGACTAAGAAGGGAGTCAAACACCTTTTAAAGCATAAGAGAGATGCCTAAGTGACTTTTCTATTTGCCAACACCCAAATTTATATGAGGAAAAGTTTATTTGTCTCACAGTGTATAGTGGTTTCAGTCTATAATTGGTTGGCTCCAAGCAGGGGCAGCATGGCTGAGAAGATACAGTCCATAGCAAGCAGGAAGACAAAAGCACATTGGCTCTCTTTTGGTCTCTTATATTTTACTCAGGCTACCTGCCCTAGGGCGGGTGTAGAACTCTCACCCTTAATCCTAGCCAGAACTATGTCAAACCAGTCAGTGGACTGATGGGTAATAACACATCCTTGATCCCAGCACCACACACTTTAGATCCAGCCACCTTTGTAAAGGTCCCCTTATGACTGGATAAGGCTTGGCAAGGAGGGCATTGAGACACACAAAGCATAACAAGAATCACAGAGGAATCTGTTGATGTTGGAATCCCAGGATAAGATTTGGCCTCCATGATATTAAGACAGGTGTTTTAAATCCAGAAGCCCAGCCTGTACGTTTGCATCTGTGGCAGGAAGAGAGTTTATAGTAGGAGCTTAGAAATGCTGAGTGAAAGGCAACCAGTCACACACAGCAGCCTACACAGAGTACAAGGAACATCTGAAGTCTAACTGTGTAGACCTCACCTTTGGAAAGTGACACAGGTCAGGTACCCAGGGCCCTCTCCACCAGTTTCAATTGCAGAGCCTAACAAGGGAAATGACAGGTCTTGGAAACACCATGAACTTACTGAGAAGCCTGCTCAAGCCAGCCTTTCTGACAACCCAAGGATAAAATGAGTACTGCAAACACTGTACCTGGTCTGTTTGCGGCTATATGTAAGTTTTAGGACACTGGCCTGCTGGAAAAGTGAGTGGAATCATGTTCCAGTTCACATATAACAACAGCGGACAATGGCACTACCTTTCCAAATACCTCGGCTTAACCACAGGACTCAATTCTTCCACTCTGCAGAGGCTACAGACACCCAAAGATCTGCCTCTGTGTGCTCTAGTGGGCTTTTTCGTTACTCCACCTTGGGGGACCTATGTTTCCCATGACTGGTAGAATTTGGCCAAAACAACCCTTTCTGCATTGGTGATAGAGACCACAACCTCTTATCTTCATCTGCATATGCAAGCTAACACCCTTCCTTCTTGAGGGCAGCCTATGTAAACATCACCAGTCTCCAGCTCTTTCTGTGTGTTTCTCCCCAACAGCTACCAGATCATGTTGGACTGCTGGCACAAAGACCCAAAAGAAAGGCCACGATTTGCAGAACTTGTGGAAAAACTAGGAGATTTGCTTCAAGCCAATGTACAACAGGTAAAACTAAAATTATCTAGACTATCAGAAGGCCACTTGCTTTTCAATGTAAGAGTTTTTGAGCTACCAATAAAAAGTGTGTGTGTGTGTGTGTGTGTGTGAGTGTGTGTGTGTGCATGTAGAATTACCTACACAAAACACAAGCAAATTTAAACAAATGACAGTTGAAGTTGATATAATGCTCCACAGAAAATAAAGTGGAAATCTGTGTAATAAGAACTCTATCTTTGGTATTTCAGGATGGTAAAGACTATATCCCACTGAATGCCATCCTGACCGGAAATAGTGGATTTGCATACTCAACTCCTGCCTTCTCTGAGGACTTTTTCAAGGATGGTATTTCAGCTCCAAAGTTTAATTCTGGAAGCTCAGATGATGTCAGGTAAGATTTCTTTTCCATCTCTCTATTACAGATTATTAGCACACACAGGAGAGGAAGGGGAGGAGGAAAGGAAGAAGAAAAAGAGAAAAGGAAAACAGAATTGGGTAATAATCACCCAGATGCTGACTTCCTAAATTTGCCTACTATTTAAATTTTGCTATATTTTGTCTATATTTTTGTCGGGGGTAGTTTTTCTTTTCTTGATCCACTTTATTTTTCTATCCATAATTTTATTGAGAAACAAATAGGAATGAGACAGTTTCAAACCAAATTGGTAGAACAGTTTCAATATTTGACACATTGCATACATTCTTCCTAGTGGTTAATCGCTGTACAAGATGTGGACATGATATCCTATTTACAAACACTGTTAGAACAAATCCCTCTATTCATTAAGAGAATGTAACTATATATCTATCCTAACCACTTTGAATACACAGATACAAAATGGACATTCATCTGTATCCCCTTTTTTTGTTAAGTTCTGTTCTTTGAATATTATAGGTGTGTAAACTCAGCAAAATATTCTAAAAGAGTTTAGCAGCCTATAATACTATTGGGTCTTCCGCTTGACTGGCAATGTCAGAAATTGTTGACCTGAGTCCCCTACAGCTCAACATAACACCATGGCTTTACTTCTTGTATTTTGTTTTTATACTTTTCTGCTGGATGGTTAAGACCAAGGTAAAGCAGGACCTATGCAACAAGAGTTGTAGCTTTTGGGTCTGATAAGGTCAGTGAAATCCCCTCAGGATTTGTCCTGAGATCCTGTACCTCAGATTGTAGAACCTTTGTCAGTGTCAGCCATGTGGATGAGTCACGGCCATTGCTTGGCCAATGTGCTCTCTGTGAAAGCCTGAGCGAATGTTTTCTCTCCATGTGACTCTCCTTAGGCACACTCTACATCATCGATCACTTTCCTCTTTGGCCCCATAATGTCCTTGATCAGAAAATTTGGGACACTACTGAGTTACATGATGTTACAGTACAAGTTCTCATATGTCCTGATCCACTTTAAAGAGCACTTGCAGAATTCTAACAGTTTTCCTTTAAAAACGTTGATATGTACCTCATAGGAGGAACACTGTCCTGTGTAATCACACCAAAAATGATTATATCAAAGAAATACTTCTGTTATCTTATATTGAAATGTTCATAATTTCCCTCAAATGTATTTTTATGTATTTCTTTTTTTAAAAAGTAGAATCCGTAAAAGGAAAGCAGGATCTCGAGGACTAACTAATCAAGAGAGGGAAAGGAGAAGAGCTAGGAAACGTGACAATGTCAAGCCATAGAGTTATATGTACAAGATGGGCAAGGCAATGATCCTGAGAATATCCAGAAGATTTTTGAATCTAGCAGTTAATTAGAAAGATTCTCACTCTGACTAACTATATATACTGATACCTGTGAAATAAGCAACTGCACTGAAGATGGTAATCTCTAATAGTAGTTTCATGGTTGGAGTGCCTGTCACTCTGGTCTTCTGAATACAGGCTGCTTGTCATGACATGCCAGTTGCTGCTATGCTGTCTCTCAGGTAGATGGTTGTTCAAAAAGAAGGGGGTAGTGAATAAAAGCAAGAGACAAGAAAAGGAATATTGTGGGACTGTCCTGCTTCAAGTTTGTATATGGTTAGATTTTTTGGACTTATGTGTAAACATAAGAAGTATATAATTCTTTATGTCTATTTTTAAAATATATTCTAATTTTTAAATGTTTTTTATCATATTCTGCAGGGACTTAAAGTTCAACATATCAATACTTGATGAAAAATACCTGTTCCATGTTATGCCTAAGATGTTTGATATTCAGACAGATAGTGAGGTTAAGTTTAACAGCCTAAATTGTATGGTAATAACAATAAGCTTGTCTTCTGGATGATTAACAACCTAAGTTTGCATACCAAATTAGAGAAAAAGGAGGGCTGCAAGGAAAGCCAACATTTTGGCCCTAGCCTTCCAAGGTCAATTAAGACTCAGGACATATGAGAACTTGCACTGTTATGTCATGTAACTCAGTAGTGTCCCAAATTTTGTGATCAAGGAGATTATGGGGCCAAAGAGGAAAGTGATCGATGATGTAGAGTGTGCCTAAGGAGAGTCACGTGGAGAGAAAACATTCTCTCAGGCTTTCACAGAGAGCACATTGGCCAAGCAATGGCCGTGACTCATCCACATGGCTGACACTGACAAAGGTTCTACAATCTGAGGTACAGGATCTCAGGAGAAATCCTGAGGGGATTTCACTGACCTTATCAGACCCAAAAGCTACAACTCTTGTTGCATAGGTCCTGCTTTACCTTGGTCTTAACCATCCAGCAGAAAAGTATAAAAACAAAATACAAGAAGTAAAGCCATGGTATTATGTTGAGCTGTAGGGGACTCAGGTCAACAATTTCTGACATTGCCAGTCAAGCGGAAGACCCAATACTATTAAAGGCTGCTGAACTCTTTTAGAATATTTTGCTGAGTTTACACACCTATAATATTCAAAGAACAGAACTTAACAAAAAAAGGGGATACAGATGAATGTCCATTTTGTATCTGTGTATTCAAAATGGTTAGGATAGATATATAGTTACATTCTCTTAATGAATAGAGGGATTTGTTCTAACAGTGTTTGTAAATAGGATATCATGTCTGCATCTTGTACAGCGATTAACCACTAGGAAGAATGTATGCAATGTGTTAAATATTGAAACTGTTCTACCAATTTGGTTTGAAACTGTCTCATTCCTATTTGTTTCTCAATAAAACTATGGAAAAAATAAATAAATAAATAAATAAATAAAAAGTAGAATCTGGTGAAGGACACTTTTTAAAGCTTCTTTAGTCTTCTTCCAAAACTGTCTTCCATCTCTTTCCTTGACATTAACTTTTTGACTATACCTTAGGTAAAGCTAAATGAACAAAAGTGCCCTCCTCACAATCTCCGTCTTCCATCATCACAAAGGAAATTGGAGAAAGTCAAAGGAAGAAATAGGAACTGAGAATCTCAACCAGCTAGGGATTCACACTTCAGTGCTCATGGCTATCCATGTATTAAACATGTCCAGTCTTCATATTACATAAACATGTGCTATGGCCTCGCACTACACTAGGCTGTCTGCATACATTGACTTTTTGTTTTGCTCAGAACAGTCACATGTAGTGCATATTACTTCTGTTAGACAAATGCAGATATCAGCCTCTAAAAAGGAGAACTCATCAAAATTGTGGGGTCACAAAACAGCAAAAGCCTATCCCAGTCCCCTTTTCAGGATTTCACACTGTCCTGGGGGCCTTCCAGCTCCTTTATCAGCAGCCCTTGGGCCTTGACCTCAGTTCTGCCACCAAGGCACAAGGAACAGTTGCACACTTGGGACACATTGTTAGCTGTCTGTGACAGGCTTTGAAGAAATCCAGCAGCTAACCAGCCCTGTGATGGACTACAGGTCATTGTCACTGCCTATACCTTATAACCAGCCCAGGAGACCAAAGCAGATGACTCTCTCATTTTCAAAGATGAGAAAACTCATTTGAAGTAAATACCTCAGCATGTCCCAGCTTAGTCAGAGGTGAGGGAGAAGAGCAGGACGTCCAAGGGCTCTGGACCCTTCTCAGCGTTCCTACTTTGGGCCCACTGAGGAGTTTGCCTGAGAAAGTGAGTCTTATAGGGGAAGCACACTATCAGATGGAGGATCAATCAATAGAGGCCTAGGGGGCCTGCCCCTTAGCTCAGTTCTTTAAGTGACTGCTTCAACAAAGCAGTCAGGCTCAGGTTGCTGTGGCTCGATCCCCACAACTCAAGCCAGCCAAACCTGCCCTGAAAGCATTTGGAGCCAAAAAAAAAAAAAAACCTTTCTCAATAAAATTATGGAAAAAAATAAAAAACAAAAAAATAATAATAAAAACACATAAATACAAAAAAATCAATAGGGGCCTTGTCTGTGAGCAGTTAGCTAGTGGCTAGCCCTGGTGGTCTTTCCTGATAGGTCATGCACATCAATCAGCAAATGGTAATAGAGAAGTTATGCAACTATTACCTGTTTTTCCCAATCTGTATTCACAGTACAGAATAAACAAGCCTGGCCCTCACACTCAGTGATGCATGGAAGCCAGCTATGGAACCTTGAAAGAGCATTTTATTTGTCACCATGTGCCCTTTCAGGAAGTAGACGGCACTTATAAGTGATAAATTCATGTCATTTATGCAAGCATCATTTCTCTCCTTTGTAGCATAAAGTATTAAGGCCAGATAATGCTTCAGGTCTCTTTTGGGCCAGTAATTTCTGATTTCAAAATGGCTCAAGATGGATTTGTTCAGGGAGTGGGGGTTGCTGAAATCCATAGAATGAACCTACACTGTGTAAGGGAGAGTTCTCCAGGGGCACAATGGAAACTGTGAGCCACAGGGACCACTGGTATTTTAGTTTATCTTAGCACAGGATGCTGTGTATTCTGTGGCTCAGATACTGTGTATTAATCAAATACTGTGTATTAATCCTTAATTAATCAAAGCTATGTCTATTTTCCTGTTTTAACTATTTTTTTTTTTTTTGCTTCTTCATTAGATATGTAAATGCTTTCAAATTTATGAGCCTGGAAAGAATCAAAACCTTTGAAGAACTTTCACCAAATACTGCCTCCGTATTTGATGTAAGTCATGACATTAAACTCTTCAACTCACCCTGGCAGGACACTTTACCTGACTCCAAACCCCAACTCTAGTTTGGTAGCTCCTGGTCAGTGAGGCCCGTTTGTCAGCAGTACCGATGTCAAGGGAACTGACAACTAGGCATAGCTATGTAAAGCTCATTGGAAAGCAGAATTCCACTGTTGAAAGACACCATTGTGTAGTTTGGGCTTCCTGGCTATCAGTGATGCATCCTTGCTTCACAAGTGGCAGAAGAACTCCTAGTGTGTGAATGGATGGCCCCTTGGGATAACAGAGGTCTTGTGAGGCAGCAGCTTTGAGTCACAAGTTCACCCTGATCTTAAGTCCTTTCCCCTTGAGGTTCTTCTGCAGGCTGAACACTGTGTTCTCACTCAGATACAATGGGAGAAGAAAACCAGCACAACCTGTCAATCACTAGCCCCCCAGTGTGGGGTTGAAAGCATAATGGGAGGAGAGGAAGGCTGGGCAGGAAGTCACTTTAGGTACAGCCAACTCTGGTACTTAAAAGTGTGATTTCCAGACAAGTATGGTACCAAGATGCAGGAGCAAGCCAGAAACACTGGCCCGCAGGATCCACCCACACCAGGAAATCAGTTACCACCTTGTCACAATGCCCTGGGGATTACTGGGTGCTTTATGAAACTTAGAGTAGTGCTGGTGACAACTCTGCCCTGGAAACAACCTTGAGGACCAACCTAATGTAAAGGTGATCCCTACAACTGGTATGGCCTTGCAACAAGCACAGTCAACTTTAGAAACCAAAAGAAGCTTCACCCAGACACACCAGACAAAGGACCATGATAATTTACAAATATTTCAATAGTAAGCTGCAGAATATAGAAATGAAGTCAAAATTTTGTTTGCTGCTTGATACATTGGTTCAAGTCTAAGAAAACAATACTGAGTAAAACACAGGATTTCTCAGCCTTAACAATAAGCTAAAACACTGATAAATTATGACAGCTTTCTTATTCATGAAGATATTTGCTAAAAATTAAGATGTAGGCTCAGCCCAGTAAGAGCCTCCAAGGGAGGTAGGAACAAAGTATAAAATCCATTTACAGGAACATGCTGTATTTACAGAGTAATAAAGAATTTGCATAAAATTCAGTGGCAAAGATATCTCAATGAAGACATACAATTCCAGGAAAATATGACCAAGGAGAGCCTGAAAATTCCACAGAATTTTTAAGAAAGAGAAAAGAGCCATGTCTTCTTAATTCCTCAGGACTTTTCTATATCCTGTCTATCAAATGACAACATATCCATCAGTCAATCACCATCTGCCAAAATTAGTTTTAACATATCTATGCAATAATTTGTGTGCAATTTTATTATTATAAGTGCTAATCTCTTACCTGAAGTTATTTCTGTTTAAATTTACTTAGCCTTCAGAAAGAAGAGCCTTGAAGTCATGAAGAGTAGGCATTAATTATGACTGACCAAGTTTGTAGCTCCAGGATGAAGGAAATGCTTTGTGTGTGCAGGCAGGCATGTGGAGGGGGAGGGCGGTGCCTGGAGTGACCACCCACACATACTCATGTGTCTTCCCGTGGACTTAGCAAGACCCCTCTGGACCAGGCAAGCATGTAACCTCTGCCTCCTTCTCTGCCAGGACTATCAGTTGGACAGCAGCACTCTGGTGGCCTCCCCCTTGCTGAAGCGCTTCACCTGGACTGCAAGCAAACCCAAGGCCTCGCTAATGCTTGAGTAAGCAGCTAGCCCCTTTCCTATCATCAGTTGATTTGGGGTGGTGAAGGAAAGTGTGGGGGTGGAGCGGGGAGATAGCTCAGTAGAATAAGCGCTTGCCTGGCAAGCACAAGGTCCTGAGTCCAGTCCCCAGTACGGGGAAAATAAAAGGGGGAGGGAGGGAATGTGGAGGAAGATGACTTCACGGTGGATATTCGAGGGCTACTTGCCCTTCTGAACTACGGTGTTCACACATTGCAGAAAGACACCTTTTCCCCCAAGGCATAAAATTAGACAAATACACACAAGGATATGGGGTTTGAGAAGGAAAAATATGCAGAAAATTGCTGCAAAGTCAGGCAGTTCTAGCACAGGAAGAGTAGAGCCTCTGTGGAAAGAAGACTGATAAGCGCACCCTGAAGGGTGCAAATAGAGATGTCCTGCTGGAAGCCGAACACGGTGTTCCCATCATGCACTGGGCCAACAGGTTTCTATTTAGAGGACTCCCAGTAATTATCAGGCCCAAGGTGTACCACGTGAAGATCCAGCCCTTCAAATGAATCACTTTCTTTTTTAAAAATTTCTTCATAGTCCTTTGTTACAGGTAAAACATATATAGTGAGGGGTGCATAACTGAAGTATACAACTCAGTGAGTTTTTAAATTTTTATTCTCTTATTTTTATTTTTATTTTTTTAATTTTAATTTTTTTTAAATTTTTATTTAAAAGAAAAAATAAAACAAAATTTCAAAACAAGATAGTATGAGGGTAACAATGGTGAATACATTGTGTATTATTATCTTTAAATTAGTTGCTCAGAGTATAAGATATAGGCATTTAACTGTCCAAGCAATATTAGCACGTCTTTCTTTTTAATAAACTAAGAGAAATTAGTATATATCTACCTTACCTTATATATAATATATATTCATATATGCAATATATATGCTATATATATATATATATATATTGCTTTTCTCTTCTTTCTTTTGTCTTTTCTCCCATCTCAGTTTCTCTTTCCTTTTGAACAGTTCCTTTCCATTTTACAATATCTGTCGTATGTTTTTAATCTTACTCTTTCATTTCCTTACACTAGGGAGACTATGATGTTTGCACATGTGTGTCTGGTTTATTTTACTTAGGAGTATGGTCTTAAGTTGTATCCATTTACCTATAAATGTCTCCAGTTTATCCTTCTTTATGGCTAATATTCCACTGTATAAAAAATACCACATCTTCCTTATCTATTCTCAGTTGATAGGCATTTGGACTGTTTCCAAGATCTAGCTATTACAAATTGTGCTGCTATAGACATGGGTGCACATATTTCTGTGGTACAATGTTTTTAATTCTTCTGGGAAGATGCTCTGAAGGGAAATAGCTGGGTGGAGTGGGACCTCCAGTCCTAGTTTGTTTTTCTTTTGTTTGTTTTTGTTTTTGTTTTGAGGAATCTCCACACAGATTTCCACAGTGGTTGTACCAGTCTGCACTCCCACCAACAGTGGAGAAGGGTCCCTTTTTCCCACAGTGCTTCCAACATTTATTGCTGGATGATTTCTTGACAATAGCCAATCTTTCCAGAGTGAAATGGAATCTCAGTTTTGTTTTAATTTACATGTCTCAAATGACCAGTGATGTTGAACACTTTTTTCACATATTTATTTGCTGTTTGTATTTCTTCATGTGTGAAGTGTGTATTCATCTCAGATGCCCATTTTTGGATTGTGTCTTAAATTTGGAAGGTCTGATATTTTTTAGTTCTTCATATGTTCTTGATAGTAATCCTTTGTCTGAAGAATACCTGGCAAACATTTTTTCCCACATCGTGGGTTATCTCTTCACTCTGTGCTTTCTCTTGCTATGCAAAACCTTTTTAATAAGATCAAATCCTAGTTATTGATTTTTTGTGATACTTCCTGTGTGATTGGAGTTTTATTAATAAGGCCTTTGCCTACACCAGTGTTTTCAAGAGTTTTTTTCAGCAGATTTAATATTTCTGTTTTAATATTTAGATCTTTGATCAATTTTGACTTCAGTTTAGTGTGTGGTGCAAGATATGGATCCAATTTTAAGCTTGGCATGCACAGAGCACCATTCATTTTCCAGCCCCATTTATGAAAGAGGCTATCTTTCTCACAGTGAATTTCTTTGGCATATTTGTCAAAAAATAAGGTGGATGAGTGTGTCTGTTGTTGTTTCTGCATCTTCCAATCTGTTCCATTAATGTTGGGGTCTGTTTTTGGTTTTGCTTTGTTTTGTTTTTGTCACAGTAGCCTGATACTATAATTTCAAGTCAGGGATTGTGATGTCCCCTGCCTTGCCTTTGTTGCTCTTTGCTATTCTAGGTCTCTCATGGTTCTAAATCAATTTTAGGATTGTTTCTTTAATTCTTTGAAGATAAATTCACTGAGAAAGAAATTAGGAAAACAGCACCTTTCACCATAGCATCTAAAAAAATGAAATACCTAGGAATCAATATAACAAAGGATCTATAAGAGCTCTACACTGAAAATTACAGTACTCTGAAAAAAGAGATGAAAGTGGATATCAGAAAATGGAAAGATATCCCTTGGATAGGAAGAGCCTACAGTTTGGGAAGTATGTCCATTTTGACTATATTGTTTCTTCCTACCCAAAAGCAAGGGATACCGCTACATTTTCTGATATCCTCTTTCATCTCTTTTTTAAGAGTACTGTAATTTTCAATGTAGAGATCTTTTAGATCCTTTGTTAGATTGATTCCTAGGTATTTCATTTTTTTAGATGCTATAGTGAAAGGTGTTGTTTTCCTAATTTCTTTCTCAGTGAATTTATTACTTATGTTCAAGAATGCTATTGATTTTTGAGTGTTGACTTTGTATCTAGCTACACTACTGAATTTGCTTATTAAATCCAGCAGTTTTTTAGTGGAGTTTTGGGGATCTTCTATATAGAATATCACATTGTCTGAAAATAATGATAATTCAACTTCTTCCTTTCTTATCATTATTTCTTTCTCTTACCTAATTGCCCTGGGTAATATTTCCAGGACTGTGTTGATTACAAGTGGATATAATGGACATCTTTGTCTTGTTCATGATTTTAGAGTGAAAGCTTTCTGTTTTTGTCCATTTGGTATATTGGCTGTTGGTTTGTCATAGATGGCTCTCATCAAAGTGACATAAAGACCATCTATTCTGATTTTTTGTATGCTATTTTTATCATGAGTGGGTGCTGGACTTTGTCAAAATCTTTTTCTACATCTATTGAGTTGATCATACAATTTTTGTCATTGGCTCTGTTAATATGTTATTGTACATTTATTGATTTACATATGTTGAACCATCCCCAAATTCCTGAGATGAATCCCATTTGGTCATGGCGTATAATATTCTTAATGATTTGCTGTATTCTGTTTGCCAGTATTTATTGAGGATTTTAGCTCTCTTTCTTAGTTGGATCCTTCTCTGGTTTTGGTATCAGGGTAATGCTTGCTTCCAGGAATGATTTTAGGAGTATTATTCTCATTTTTATTTCATTAAAGAGTTTGAAGGGCCTGCCAAATAGGTCAGCAGATTAAAGGACCTACAAGCAGGCATGGAGGCCAGGGATTTGATCCCTGGGCCTGCCATGCTGGCTCCGCCCCCAGGCACAATGAGATGGCAATTGAGACTGGGTGTGGTGGCACACGCCTGTAATCCCAGCTCTTGGGAGGCTGTAAACAGGCAGATCACTATGAGTCTGATGTAGTAGTGAGACTCTGAACACCCTGCAGACCCTTCACTAAAATAAAAAAATTTTTTAAAAAAGGAGTTTGAGAAGGAATGATATTAGGTCTTCTCTAAATTTCTTTTAGAATTCTTTAGTGAATCCATCTTGGCTAGGGATTTTGTTTGTTAGAAGGTTTTTAATTATATCTTGAATTTTTTTCTTTACTTTAAAAAAAATTTAAAGAGAGTACAAAATAGTAATAAAACAAAAAATTATAAGTGACACAGAGTTTCACTTAACAAATAATATGAATTTCACAGTATTTGTTGTAATGCATAGCATTATCTTCCAACTAGTTATTCATATTACCAGATATATGCATGCAAAATTGAAACAAAGAAAAAAATATAAGAAAGTAAGAAGAGAAAAAGTGTAGAATAAGCACTTCCCTGGCAAGTGCAAGGGTCTGAGTTCAATCCCCAGTTATGCCAAAAAGAAAGAAAGAAGAAAGAAAGAAAGAAAGAAAGAAAGAAAGAAAGAAAGAAAGAAAGAAGAGGAAAAAGTGCAATCAATTGAAAGAAGGAGATAAAACAAATTAAGCGTTAACTGCTCCTTTCCATAGAACAGCAGAAATCTACAGTGCAATTGTCCAAACCATCCTGCTTACATACATAAATATAGCTCTTTCTCTCACTCCCTCTCTTGGGCTTCTCCTCAACTCAGTAACTCTTTCCTTTTGAACAAGTTCGTTCCGTTTTCCTATTATCTACTGTACCCTTTAGATTCTATTTTCTCTTTCAGGTCCTCATACTAAGGAGACAACATATTGTTTGAACATATGGGTCTGATTTATTTCGCTTAAGAGTATGGTCTGTACTTGCACCCATTTACTGAAAAAAAAAGCCTCAAACTTATGCTGTTTTATAGCTGAATAATACTCCATTGTGTAAAAATACCATATTTTCCTTATGAATTCCTCATTTGATGAGCATCTGGGTTGTTTCCAGTATTTAGCTATGACATATTGTGCTGTTATAAACATGGGTGCACCTGTATCACTGTGGTTGATGTTTTCAGTTCTTCTGGAAAAATACCTAGGAGGGGAATAGCTGGGTTGAATGGGATCTCCAATCCTAGGGTTTCAAGGATTCTCCACATTGATTTCCATAGCATTTGTACAAGTTTGCACTCCCACCAACAGTGGAGAAAGGTTCCTTTTTCCCCACAGCCCCTCTAGTATTTATTATTTGCTGACTTCTTGATTTTAGCCATTCTTTCTGGGAAGAGGTGGAATCTCAGTGTTGTTTTAATTTGCATTTCTTGAATGACCA